TCTTAAAGAAATAACATATTACAATATTGCAAAATAACCGTTGTTGTTTAACCATAGTTGTAAAATTTTAATTTCTTTAAGATTACTTGCTCAAAAAACTTACACATATAACCAACTTACACAGACCTTCTTTATCACTTACTTAAACCCTCTTATTTACTTAATCACATAGACTCTCTTATCAAGAAACACATTTTCCTTCTATTAAATCCATTCCTAGAACCTTCTAATTTCTCTTTTCCATCTGTTAACCTCCTTTTCTGTTCACATTTTGAAACAATCCTTGTAAATTTCTGAATTTAGGCAGATTATTTCATAGACATCAACATTTTATTAGTTTTTTTTTTTTTTTTTGATCACCTAGGAAAAACTTATAAGCTTAATTTTAAAGACATCTTTACTTTCATCTGTTTACCCAATTTAAGTTGAACCATTTAAATCATGTGAATCAAAGATATTTGAATCCATTTTTTTTAATTTTTCATGAGCGCTCTATATATCTGCCAATGTTCATAAAGACATCATTATTTTCATCTGTTGACAACACATAACCAGGTGTGCACACATAACATCAGAGTAAAGGCCTTGTAGCTTTTCACAGGTGAAATCTCCATTGCAATGTTTAAAAACTCCACAGTTGATATCAACACATTATTGCCCATGTCTTAAAGGGCCAGAAACAGATACCAAAGAAAGACACAGGACAGAGAGACTGAGGGGAGCTCCAGACTATGGCTGACAGACAAGAACTTTTAAAACAGACCACATAAGAGAAAAATCTCCCCAAGTTTCTAACTCCCATTTAATTATGACTCCCACACCAGTGGCACCATAGATGTCCAGATGTTCTCACAGAGGGGAAACCAGAAGTGTAAAATCAAGGGTCTCGGTGTGGCGATTTTACTGCATTCAGTGTCCCTTTTCTTTTTAAGTAGACAGAGATGGAGCAATCCTTACAGTACATGGAAGGAAGGAGGGAGTTCCCCAAAGCAAAAGGAGCTTTGGCAGCTGCTGGGAGTCCCTCAGTCCCTCCTTTTACTTACAGGATTAGCTCCTTTGGTTAGGTCTGATCCCAGGCACGCTGGCATATCTCCTAACTTTCCAGTAGCCGGCTCTCAAAAGTTAATCCTCCGCTTGCAGTTATTTGGAGTGCTAGACTTCCCCAAGAAAGCAGAGTGGGGGCTCCTCTAGAGTCCCCTCTGGGGTGCCAAAATTTGTGACTGAAAGTTCGGTTCCTGTCCTCAAAGCCAATTAATGTCAATTTAATAATGAGGACAGGGTTTTGAGAAAAAGAAAAAGAGAGATATTCAGTTCTTAGATCCCCAGCAGGCATTTCCCTCTGCTGTGGGTGCTCTCAAGCCAACTACGGGAAGAAAAGAAAATATTGCTTCCCTAGTCCCATTTAACAAAGGGGAACAAAGTTTATCAAAGTTCTTTAAAACACAGCTAAAAGGGGTGTAAAACATGAGAACAGAAAAGCTGGTGGTTCTATTGACTTTTGGTCCCTTACAGGGAAGCAGGAGAAGAATACCAGGGACATTTTCAGGCTAAAATTTAGCTAAAGTTACCTCCACACAGCTAAGGCAGATCGGAACTTGAGACTCTGCATCTGTCCCAAGTAAAACAATGCCATCACACTTAACAGAGACATAGACAAAAAGACACACAAAGATGCAGATTCCCTTTTCAGATTGTCGACAAAAATGGAAGTGGGGTGCCGGCCCCAAGCCAACTGGGGCCTTCCCTTCAGACAAACAGATTGGGGAGCATCCCCCTCAGATTGGGTCTGACGGCCCCAGATAGGGAGATTAGTTCCCTTGCCAGGGTGTTGGGGGTGGAGGTGGACAGGACAATAAAAACAAACACACATAACACAAAATTCGCAGCATCATGGATTGCTACCCAGAAACTAAAAGCAGAGGCGGACCGCGGATCCGTCAGCTACAAAATACTTTACCAAATACTTCACAAAATGCTTTACTAAAGGCAATCCGCTCAGAACCCAGAAAGGGGCTGGGGACGTCTCCCACAAACCCCGTCGGCTGCCCTGCAGTGCGTCCACCTGGACCTTTTGCTGACCACACAACACAGAACCAGAACCTGTAGGCAACCAGAGTACAGAAACTTACAGATCGGCAATGCCTTTACTTACCAGCCGGGTTTTCATCACCTCTCGATCGGAGTGTCTGGGTAGGCTTATAAGGGGGATCCCAGACAAGTCCCCATCTCTTATGCTTGAATTCAGGACCCCCAAAAGACCACCAGAGACCAAGATCGATGTAAGCAGCAAGGAGGTGTTTATTGCGAGCTAGCTCAGTCCTCCGTGCACACAGCAACTGGTGACACTGAGAGGCCCCAGCCCAGGGTTTGCAGCAGTTTTATACACTCTTTGGGGAAGGCAGGGACCCCCACATACATCATAGCATCTCTTAGCAAATCATCACACACCTCGGGAAAATAATAAAAAACAACTCTAAAATATGATTAGCACATTGACTGGCGGGAACAAGTTGGGTAAGGGTGATTGGTTAGTACAAGAGGGGGATTCGTTTGAACTGATTGGTTTAGGCCACGAAGGGAGTACGTGCTGAACTACATGGTTTCCCAGTATGTTATCAACCACCATAAATTACTGGGAGGGTCATCTGGCATCCCAGGTATTTTCCTGGTCTCATGCTGATTGGTGGCTGCTAGGGGGTTGCTATGGGTCCCCACCTAGCCTGACTGAGTCAGGGACACCTGGCATCACAGATCTCTCCTGTTATTTGCAGACAAACAACTCAGCAGGGTGGGTATGTGCCTAGGAGTGCTCTGTGGGTCTTTCCAAGGACAAGGGTTATGCCCACTTCCTTGGACAGGCTTTGCTCTGAGGTAGAGGCTGGTTTTTCAAAAGAACCATCTCATTTCACAAATGTTTGTACAGTTTTAAAACTTGTTAATATTGGATGTTATTTGAGAAAAGGCATTTATCTTCTGTAGACTTTTGTATGCTCATCTGAATAGTAAAGATGGAGTACAAGTCGTGAACAAAACTAACACTATTGAATGCTTACCATATGCATAGTTAGAACTATTCTTGTCCCCCTTTTATAGATCAGGAATTAGTCACAAAGAAGCTAAGCAATTTAGTGTATGATGGAGCTGAAATTCAGATCTAACTTTTTCCAACTCCAGAGCCAGCAGATCTCATCCCTTACCTTGAGATGAAGGATCATGGTCTTCAGAAAGCTACGGGCAAATGCTGTGGTTTGGGATGTGATATCCTAACTCTAATCTCATGCCCCAGTACTCTTAATCTCCTACCACAGGCTCCAGCAAAGTTTCCCCTTACACCCCACCAGTTTTCCTTCCTCTATATCTTTAAAACAAGTATTCCCTGAGCCCAACATTTTCTTGTTTAAATGACTTTCTTCATTAACATCTTTAAATTTAGAAAATTATAAACACACCCATACATGTTTATTTTATATCATATAGAATAAAAGTCAAACTTAAGACTTTTTTAGGTACCACTCTGATTAGCATTATTTTGTAAAGAGGAAAAAAATGGTGGTGGTGGTGGTGGTGATATAAAATTATAATGTTCTTTGAAATTTTAAATGCAGATGTCCTGGTAGTGTGTTAAATTGAGATGGTTCCTCGAGGCAGCAGTCCTGTCTAATTTATCCTTGTCCTCACAGCTCAGCATGTCTGGCACATAAGAGGCACTCAAAGATACGATGAATTAGATTTTTCCTTCTTTTAAATAATTTCTCTTTGGTTCTACCAAAGTTTGTACTCTGTATCTTTATTGTGATACACATTGTTCTTCTGACAGGAGGAATAAGTTTGGTTACTAGGAAAAAGAAACCTTGAGTAACAGTGGCTTACACGATTACCTCAAAGCTCGGCAGTACAGGACAGGTGCAGCAACTCCAAGAGGTTCTCAAGCAATCAGCTCTTCCTATCTGTCTCATCTGCTATCCTGATTACAAATCCTTATTCTCATGGTTAAACGATGTCTGCTGATCTTCCAGGCATTGTATCTACATTCTTGGAAGAAGAAGAGGAAATTTAGAGGACAAAGAATAAAAAAGTTTGATCTTCTAAAGGTCTTCCCAGGGACTCCCACCTATATTTCATTTATATGGATGTAACTGTGACATGTGGCCACTTCTAGCTGCAAGTGGCTAAGAATTGGAATGTTTGGCTTTTCTCCCTCTATAATAGCAAACCAGGGAAAAGGGGTTATAGTGGGTGTTTATTGAGCCAACCTGTAGTCTTCCTTACAGATATTTTTAGTTTCTTGGTATAATTTTATCTTTCCTGGTATACTGCAAACCTATGGAGAGCCAAAGAAAGTGTTTTGTAATCTACAAATTGCCCACATGACTAGCAAGTGGCTACCATAGCGCTTATCACAGTGTCTAAGATACTGTGGTTACTCAGTCACTGGTGTTGTATTTTTAAAAATATTTTTTTAGTTGTAGATGGACAAAACACCTTTTTAAAAATTTTATGTGGTGCTGAGGATTTAACCCAGAGCCTCACATGTATGAGGCAAGTGCTCTACCACTGAGCCACAAACCCAGCCTCTGGTATTGTATTTTTAACTTTAATTTAGAAATAAGAACCAGACAGGAATTAGTGACTGATTTCTCTGAAAATTATGGAATCTGGAGAACTCCCTTGGTGTCTCGTTCCTCATATCAACATTGGAAAATTACTTGGGACTTTCCTGCTTCATTGAGTTGGACTGTTAAAGAGAACAATTTAATAGTGATATTGCTCAGAATGTTTTGAAGTATAACTCAAAAAATAGGGTGGGAAAGAAAAATGTGATTGGTTCAACAAGCACTTTTTTTCAGAGAGGTAAAAGGGTAGATAAGAATGAAGACAGTATATTGGAATCAAAGAAGAGATCAGCAATTGGAAATTAAGAATAGTCTAACTTACTTTTAGCCTTGCAGAGTCTTAAGGGAAGAAATAAATAGATTTTCAAATTATTGTTTCTCTTTCAGAATAGATCTTGTTCCTCTTCTTTGTATTATCTTCTTCATAACTACAAATCATGGGGGATAAAGATAAAACAATTGAATGTCAAGATTCAGAACCATCCACAGGGATGAATCATACAACTTCTGTGTATCAAGAAACACAGGTAAAATTACTGTAGAAATCAAATGTAGAAAATCCTAGCCATTCCTTTAAGGAAGGGATTATGTATTACCAAGCTCTGCTACAACTGCATTCTCCTTGGAGGCATGGTGTATCACACCTGTAATCCCTGCAACTCCCGAGGCTGAGAGGAAGGAAGATCACAGTTCAAGGCCAGCCTAGGCTATTTATATTTAGCAAGATCCTGTCTTAAGATAAAAATAAAAAAGGTCTGGGATGTAGCCCAGTGGTAAAGCACTTGCCTACCAGTAGCCAAGCCATGGGTTAAATCCCCAGTACTCCTGCTACCCACACACATGCACACACACACACGCACACACACACACACACAGGTTTCTCCTTAATTTCTACTACTCAGTTAATAACTCTCCCTTTCTTAATCCCTAAACATAACAGTCCAGGGTAGGTGTGACTGCTAGTTTTCCCAACTTACTAAGGTCATCAGTAGCTGTCCTCACCTAAGGCTGGCACACATCTAAAAATAGTGACTTAGTGGTAAACACTCCTAATATTGATCTTGTTCCATCCACTAATTAGCTAGTCATGAAATTTATTTTCCTTACAAGGAACTATCCTTGATTCTAGGAAAGGCAATTTGATTTGTAATGTGATGAATGAGTAACTATAAACCTGTGTAGAAAGACACCATATTAAGGATTTTTAAAAATTGCTTTAAATACAGGAAGAGACGGTCATGAACCTTAAAGGTACAGATGGAAATGAACCAACAGAAGGAAGCAACCTGTTACACAGCAGTGAAAAAAAGCTACAAGAAATACCAACTGAATCAAGTGGTTTGCAGAGGCTGAGACAGATATTGGCTTGCCCTCCACATGGTTTACTGGACAGAATCATAACAAATGGTATGTGTGTAATAAGAATAGATTCAGAAAGAGAGGGTAAAAGATGAAGTTGCACTGAGAGATTCCAAAAATCATATGGTTTAAGAACAAAAAGAACTTTACTTCTCTCTTACATAAAAACTAGTAGGCAAACACTTCACAGTGGTAGGTGACTCAGTTCTGCAGTCACTGAAGGACCAGATTCACAAGGCTCCATCATCTTCAACCTGAGGCTTCCAAAATCACTGTGGTCACCACCATTCCAGTGAGTGGGAAAGAGAAAAGAACAGAGACTGAGAAACTTTTCCATCTGTATATTTGAATAATTTTATAAAATTACTTTAGAGCTACAGTAGAAAAATGCTTAAGAAATTGCTTATAGATGGCATTGATTGTTATTATTGTTAAAGTAATACAACTAATATTTGAGCAAACACAATTTATACTTCCAAGTGAATCTTCATTATTTTTATTTGTTTTAAGGGTTTTTGCTTGTTTCTGTTTGTTTTGTTTTGTTTCCTTTTTGCGGTGCTGGGGATCAAACTCAGGGCCTCATACTTGGTAGACAAGTGCTCTGCCCCGAGCCAGGTCCCCTGTCATTTCATGAGTAAGGTCTTGAGTTGCAATTCAGCATGTTGTAGCAGGGCTGCCATTACTTAAAATACTTTGAGGATTTGGGGGGCAGAGAATTAATCTTAACGCCATTTTGAATATTGTTAAAATTGGGATATATTTGTCTTTTAGAAATGGTTTTGGTTTTTGGAGGCAGCCAAAGATCACTCTGTTATCAATTTGATCATTCGTTATCAGTTTGATTCAGTGATGCCTTTTGTGTTCAAAAAGGAAGTATGTTTGGAGGTAATGTTAAGGAACATGCAATATAGGAGGTAAAAGGAGACGAGGCTAGAAAACTGTCTAAAAAGGCAGATTTAAAGATAGTTTTTAAAATTGTGTTGAGGGCTGGAGTTGTGGCTCAGTGTAGCACACTTGCCTAGCATGTGTGAGGCCCTGGGTTCAATTCTCAACACCGCATATAAATAAATTAAATAAAGGTCCATTGGCAACTAAAACAAATAATAAAAAAGAAAAAAAAATTTAAATTGTGCTGGGAAATGTCATTTATTGTAATAAATATGTGGTTACCCACATAGATTATGTGCACTGAAAAAATGAGGCTCAATTCTTTATAGCTATTCTTCACTTGGGAACTCTGAAAAATATTTTCATCATTTTCATTTGACAGCAAAAGCCAAGTATAATAAGTTATACTTTAGGCTCTGGATATGTTTTTAATGAAATCAAGTCAGGTTCTGAACTAGCTCAGAAGAAAATATGAAAGTTTATTTAAAACACATAGAGAAAATCACATCCCAAAATATGCACTAGCTAATAAGGGCACAGATAATTTAATACCTTTAACTTTTACCATTTGTTGTGGTTTGGGTATGAGGTGTCCCCTCAAAGCTCATGTGTAACAATGCAAGAAGGTTTAGAGGAGAAATAACTGAGAGCATTAACCAGTCAATGACTTAATCACCTGATGGGATTGAGTGGTAATTGAAGAAAGGCGAGGTGTGGCTGGAGGAGGCGGGGCGCTGGGGACGTGGCTCTGGGATATATATTTGTATTTGGCAAGTGGAATCTCTCTGGCTGCTAACTGATCATCATGTGAGCGGCTTCCCTCCTACCATACTCTTCCACCCTGTTGTTCTACCTCACTTTGAGCCCCAAGGAATGGAGCTTGCTGTCTATGGATTTAGGCCATAGACCTCAAACTGTGAGCCCCCAAATAAACTTTAGATCCTCTACAGTTGTTCTGGTCAGGTCTTTTAATCACAGCAGCAAAATGCTGACCAAAACACCATTCAAACTAAGGCACATTTCTGTTAAAACATTTACAATTAAACAGATTCAGATTGTCGTAAGAGTGAAAATGAAGGATGTGATTTTGATTGCCTTTTTTTTTTAACAAAGTATATAATCATTGTTCATAAAGCTGCCTGAAAAATGGGGGTCACAGTAGATTAAAAACCTCATCACTTGTTTTACAAGTTTACTTTATTCTTTATTTTTTCCTGCACTCATTAGGTATATAAAAGCATTCTTCCTAAGAAGTAAATCTTACATGTAAAAATATCATTTTCTAAAAAACATGAACAAGAAATAAATTAGTAACTGATTTAAACATGATTTAGAGAAGCTTATGAATGTGCATTTGCTATGTCCAACTATATTTATCACTTGTAAAGTGGTGCAATTTACTACCAAAGACCCTCATAAGAAATACAGCATGTTGGGCTGGGGTTGTGGCTCAGTGGTAGAGCGCTTGCCTATCATGTGTTAGGTCCTGGGTTTGATTCTCAGCACTGCATATAAATAAATAAAATAAAGGTCTTTTGACAACTAAAAAAATATTAAAGAAGAAGAAAAAAAGAAATACAGCATTTTCTGATACAGACTGTTTCTACACTATGAATTAGCTCAGACGCAATGGTAAATCGGGAGTCCTGTCGGTGTGATATGGAACTTGCATTTTTGTGTATAAATTTTTCCAATATGGAAAAGGAAAGGAGAGTTAGATTTTTTTTCCATACCAGGGATTGAACCCAGGGCCATATCCCCAGCCCTTTTTATTTTTTATTTTGAGACAGGTCTCTCCAAATTGATTAGGGCCTTGCTAAATTGCAGAGGCTGGCCTTGAACTTGTGATCCTCATGCTTCAGCCTCCCAAATAACTGAGATTATGGAGGTGTGCCACCATGTCTGGCTAGAGTCTTTTTTAAAAGTGATTTTAAAGTGGAAAAAGTTCTCTTAATTCTGTCTTGCTGAATTTAGTATAAAGTTGGGTTTATGCTATGACAAAGTAGGATTTATTTGCTGCCATATTGTGGTTTCTCAGTCTCTCTCTAATATTGCATAATAATTTTAGCCCTTGTAGTCAATTGGAAAATACTTAAGGCTTCTAGTTATTTCATTATATCATTTATTGCAACACTATGTCTAGAAAATCTGGAACAAGCCTAGAAAATCTAGAACAATTCTATGAGGATTTACAAAAAAAACCATTGGATTTAGTCTCTAGACAAATTATAAAATCACAATATGCACAAGATCCAATGAACAATCCTATCACTTAAAGGAAATGTCTCAAAAATATTTTAAGCCTTTTTCACATACCTTTGATCTATCAAGAAAACAAGCAATTATCAGAAACCAAAAATGAAATGTAAGTAGGAAAGGTAAGTAAGGACTCAAGCCAACTTTCACCCTAGAGGTTTCTGCCAAACCCCAGTGAAATTGAGAATGATTTTGAGATCCACAAGAGCACAGGAAGCCAAGCTAGAGCCTACCTGGGGTGGGAGACATGTAACAGGAGAAATGATTCTCCTTCACCCACATAAAACTGGAACCCAAAGTGATGGTGGATTTCAGGTAAACCTGCTTTGTCAATGGGGCCTGCAACCAAACCTACCTGTCTAAATTGTGGTTGCTAGTCGGTATGTCTGTGTGTGGATTAAGGTGAAGTCCACTAAAAAAGAAAGAAAAAGAGGGGGAGAGAGAGAGGAAGGGAGGGAGAGAAGGAGGGAGAAGGTAACTTCACCCTTATTTGTGCTCCAAATTCAAAGAAGAAAAACTCAATCTGAATATACACTTAAAAGTAGTCCTGGATTGTAAACTTGAAAGCACCTGGTAGAAGCAAATTCAGATCCCTTCTGGGAAAACTCACATTAGCCTAAGGCTTCAGCAAAACCACAGATGGAGTTCAAGGGAGATTCACTGTTGGGGAATAAGAAATCGCAACCAAAAAGGAAACAAAACAGAGATTTCAAAAGTGTGCATTACTAGCCAGATATGGTGGCACACACCTGTAATCCCAGCTGCATAAGATGATGAGACAGGAGGATTGTAAATTCCAGGCCAGCTTGGACAATTTAGTGAGAACCTATCTCAAAATAAAATTTTCAAATTATTAGGGATGTAATTTAGTGGTAGAGTGCTTGCCTGCATATGAGAAGCTCTGGGTTAAGTACCACCCCCCCCTCCCGTCCCCCCCCAAAAAAGCATTGCCAGAAAATAGACCTTGAAACATTTTTCTAAAGAAGTTAAATAGTAAGTACAAATGTGAATACAAAACAAATGCTGATTAAAATTATATAAATTTGAATAAGAACAAATGTGAACTTCTAGAAAGATGTAGTATAATAATTGAAATTTTAAAAGCAATGGATAGAGTAAGCAGCAGATTAAGTTAAAAAAATTGATCAACCAGCAAATAGAACTGAAGAGATTATCTAGATTATAGTACACACAAAGATGGAAAATATGGAAATAGGCTTAGCAAGTAGAGTGACTATCTAATCATAATTTCACAAAAAAAAAATTAGGGAGGTTGGGTAAGAAATATTTGAAGAAATAAAGACAGAATTTTCCAGAATTGTTTTTTTTTTAAAAAAAAAAACATAAATTCTAAGCACATCAAAAAGAAGCCAATTCTAAATTCTTTATTCAAAAATTACAGAAAACAAAAAAAAAAAAAAAAAATTAAAACAAACCAAAGGAAAAAATTTCTGGAAAAGGGCCAAAATTAAACTGAATAACAACATTGAAAGCCAGAAAACCAAGGAAGAATATTATCAAGGGATTGAGAAAAAAATAACTCTTCACTTACAATTTAAGGTAAATCTGAGGTATACCTAGAAAAACTATCTTTTAAAATAAGAATAATGTCAGACAACAAAACTAACAATTTTCTTCCAAAGACTGTCATAAGAAATAGAGCATGTTCTGATACAGAATGTTTCTACACCATGAATTAGCATGGATGCAATGGTAAATAGGGAATCGTGTTACTATAATATGCAATTTGCATGTTTGTGCATGTTTTTCCTCACATGTTAATATTTTGCATTGTTAAGCAATAGCAAATGAAGTCAAAGTGAATAAAAAACAAAAAGATCAGGTATGTGTATTCTCACAATTAAAGATTAAACCTCCTTCACAAGAGGACCTTCTAAAAGCTGAAATTCCTGTTGAAGTGATTTATTTTCATAGAGATAATAACTGGTTTAGGGGCATTAGTAACTTTTAAATGTTTCACAACATTAAGCTTATAATGCAACTAACTACACATGGAGAGAAAGCAGATGAAGATTCTGCCAACAAATTTCCCTCAGTTAAAAAATTTTTTTTATTAAAGGAGAGCACTACAATATGGATCAGATTTTGATACAATTGCTTTGTATTTAAAGAAAATATCCTCAAGAATCTACATCTTGAAGTAGGAAGTGTACAAAGAATAGAGTGCCTGCCTGGGAAACAAATGTCTGTGGAGATTTATCTGTGCTATTACTTTTGTTAGGATTGTGTTCATTTTTGTTAGTGGTTATGTCATAAGTTTCAAGTTTTGAGTAGTTTTTCCTAACTCAGTTTTTCTCATGAGCCTTTCTATTTTTAGTATGTAATTTTATAGAATACCTGTATTCAAACTGGAAACATATTTCACATTCTAGTGGAAATGAATTTACTAAAGAAAATAGTTTAGGTATCAGGATAATTGTCCTAGATGAAAGATTTGAGATGCTATAATGAATGATGATTTTTTTTTAAAAAAAGGCAAGAATGTGCATAATTCTAAATCCATGTTGATTGTAGAAAAGAAATAAAGGTAATGTTTAACTGAAGGCAGAACTAAGATAACTGAAGTAGGATTAGAGTTCAAGTATTTCATATTCCTAAGAAGAGGGCAAAGATAGTGATTTTGTCCTTTTTAGTATTAACTGGTATTTGTGATAAAATTACTAAAAAAATAAAATAAAATAAATAAGGGAATGGGTTTAAAAAAAATCCAAGACAGTGGTTCCTTCTGGCAGTGTGCAAAGAGATGGATGGGACTGGAGAGGGCCACATAGGTGGATTCAAAAGTATTAGTAATATCTTGTTTTTTAAAAGTGGTTGGAAACTACCCAATTGCTCATTTTACTGATGTTCTTTATAATTTGCACATGGCTATAAAGGTTTTTTTTTATGCATTCAATGTTTATTTTTAAAAATTATTTTAGATTGTTTCAAAACCTGCCTATTACAACTTACTTATAGAAACAGGTTTTCCTGATTTGTTTCAGTTACCATGGTTGTTCTTCTGTGGGCAGCAGTTTGGTCAGTTACTGGCAGTGAATGTCTTCCTGGAGGAAACTTATTTGGAATTATAATCCTATTCTATTCTACCATCATTGGAGGTAAACTTTTTGGGCTCATTAAGTTACCAACACTGCCTCCTCTTCCTCCTCTTCTTGGTAAGTGCTAAACATTTCCCATTTTCTTCCAATAAATCATATTTTCATAATAGTATTTTGGAAAGCTTTGGGAAATAAAGTATGTATTTCTGTATTTGCTGTGCTATAGCCCAAAACCATTTGGTAAATTTTGAGGAGTTTTTGAGCCAGTTGTTAAACATGGTGATTTTTTTTAAATTAAATTATATAAAATTACAATTAAATAGCATACATTAAAGAATAAGAGCAATCAATACTCAAAACTGATATCTTCCAAATTCTTTTACTGAATTTCCCCATATCTGTGCTCTTGAGATTATGGAAATATCATGTAATGGTGTGCCTTTGCCCATCTCCTCCCATCTCTGGCATGTTGGTAGCTTAAAATTTGGCTGTGTTGCAGGTATGTGTAATACAGAAACCAGTAAATACTACAAATCAGGGTTTGTTGTATTGGAAGCTTCTCACAACATTGACAAAGAGTGACATTTGGGAGGTGGGGGTTACTGGGGATTGAACTCAGGGGCACTCAACCACTGAGCCACATCCCCAGCCCTATTTTGTATTTTAATTAGAGACAGGGTCTCACGGAGTTGCTTAGCTTTTGCTGAGGCTGGCTTTGAATTCGTGATCCTCCTGCCTCAGCCTTCTAAGCCACTTGGATTATAGGTGTGTGCCACCATGCCTGGCAAAAGTGACATTTTAACATATATTTCTATTATTGCCCTTTTGTCTTACTCATTAACATAAATAAAAGTATCAACTAATATTCATGGTGACACTACACTCACTCACCAGGGATGTGACTTCTTTGTGGAATCAGATAGTAGGTAAGCATTTTTTAATCTGATTTTGTCCAATCTTGGTTGAACTGGAACCATTTTTGGTTTGGGATGCAGGAATCTGACAAGCAGTGATGAAAGCGTTCTGTGAGAATTAACTGGGGAGTGAAAATGGAAGGCTGTAATTGAGGGTAGGGCAGTACTGCCACTCTATGTTTGCTGGTAATGTTTTAATTTTACCATGTGCATATTACTCTTATCAATATTTCTTTTAAAAACAGATAGTATAGGGACTGGGGATATAGCTCAGTTGGTAGAGTGCTTGCCTCACATGCACAAGGCCCTGGGTTCAATCCCCAGCACCACACGCGCGCGCGCACACACACACACACACACACACACAAGAAAAAAAAATAGACACCATAGGTCTTTTCACACTGTTACCCAATAAAAACTCTAGAAAGACCATGATTACAGAATTGTGAACTCACTAGATTAAATGGCAGTAATGAGAGGTGCCTAGAAATGGTGCATTCTTGTATCATGGCATCTGTAGCGAGTCATAAAGTGTACATATAATTTGTTCTCATAAAATATCCCAACTTTAGTTAATTTATTTAGTCATGCAAACTGTGGTGCTTATAAGGACATGAGGAGAAGCTGCTGCTGCTGGAGAAAATGGTGGATAGAAGCCTCACAATCTGTCTCAGAGAAACTTTACCCTGTGGGCATGTGGCATCAATGAGGGAGAATTCCCTCATAAGCTACAAGACTCAAGTTAGTCACAACTATGTGAAGTTCCCAGAATGTGTCATTTTGTCCGACACCTTTGAATAAACTAGTGTCTCTTCCAGGCATTTTACAATCTTGCAGACCCTTCCCCTTCCCTGGACCCCTTTGCTCACCCTCCCTTTCTCAGTTCATACAACACCCCTTCATGCTTTCCTAATATTGGGGTTGTTAGTTTGTCTTGTTTTCCTAGAGGCTGAAAGTTTGTTGAGGTATAATTCCTGCTGCTTGTCCATTATATTCCTAACACCCACATAGTGTCTGAAATACTAAAGGCAACCAGTAAATATTGGCTGACTGAAAGAAGAGCCACCAGCTGACTGACAGGGCAGTGTTCATTTCAGCATAATTCCTAAAGCCTTTGCAAAGTGAGTTATGTATTTGTTATTAAGTTATCTGGTGTGAAATGAAATAGAAGCCATGTAAGTACTTATTGATATTTCAAGTAAACTGACATAGCAAGTTATTTCAGGAACTGTTTGCTGTTCGCACATAGAGGGATGACTGAGCTGACACTGAACTGAAACATTTTATGTTTAAGATTTAATTATTATCTCTAGCCAAAAGCTGCATCTTGTTTCTCCTTTTTATCTTTAATTATTTGAGAAATAGTAATTGTTTATTTTTTATTTGTGCTAATTAGTTATATATGACAGTAGAATGCATTTTGACACATCATACATAAATGGAATATAACTTCTCATTTGTCTGGTTGTACATGATGCAGAGTTACACAGGTCATGTAATCACATATGCATATAGGGTAATAATGTCCAATTCATCCTACTATTATTCCTACCCCCATGACCCCTCCCTTCCCTTCAATCCCCTCTGTTTAGTCCAAAATACCACTATTCTGCTCCCCACCACCACCACTTATTGTGAATTAGCATCCACATATCAGAGAAAACATTTAGCCTTTGGCTCTTTGAAACTGGATTATTTCATTTAACATAATATTCTCCAGTTCCATCCATTTACCAGCAAATGCCATAAAAGAAATAGTAATTATTTTAATCTTACTTTTTATGTGTATATTAAAATCTTTCTTTGATCTTCTAATTCATCATATCATTTTATTTTTTTAAATAAAAGTCTAACTCAATTTTATCTAAGGACTAAACATAAGATTATATAATAGTCTCTTTCACATGTAAAATGCTGAAAAATATTGTCTTACATTTGAAAACTGATTCATTCTTGTTTGACTTCTTCATTCAAGGCATGCTGCTTGCTGGATTTCTCCTCAGAAATATTCCAGTCATCAGTGATAATGTACAGATCAAGCACAAGTGGTCCTCCTCTCTGAGAAGCATAGCCCTATCTATTATACTGGTTCGTGCTGGCCTTGGTCTAGATTCAAAGGTATAATATATAAATTTCTTATTATTGAATAGGAATTTTGTTCCTCTAACATTCCATATCTTTAGAATCACTGAGCTTCGGGAATTGGATAGAGACACTTTGTATCACATTCTCAAGAAGAAAATATAATTTATTTCATGCAGAGTTATTTTGCAGGTAAGACCTTGTGCCTCACAGGAACTCAGAAGATATTCTCATACTCTTTCTTGGAGAAAGGTGGGGAGGTACTATGTGTGGTGACAACACAAGAATAAAAGCTCTCCTTTTCTCTGACAGAGCTATAGGCCATAGTAATAAATAATGATGATGTGGGGAACAATATATTTTTGGTGTGCAAAACCCTTTATAAGTATGTAAGACTAATTATGCTGATTCAGGAAACTGCTTAGTATATTGAATGAATCTCAAGCATGCTTTTTCTTAATGCTTTTTTTCATATATTTTGGAATGCAGAAATGAATGTCCTTAGGGGATGAAGCTCTTCACTTGGCCTCATTCTGGGCCCCAGACTATAAGTAAAACGAATACTGAGAAGGTTAAGTCAGCTAGTGTGAGGATTGTGAGCACTCACTCCAGAAGCCACCTACCTGGGTGCACACCTGGCCCCATCACTCACCAATTTCATGACCTTTGAAAACATGACTTGGACTTGTGCCTTTTTAGGTTTTAAAAATACGGATAGTACCATTACCTATCTCATGGGGTTACTGTGAGGATTACATAAGCTGTCTCTAAAACACTTAGGATGCTAAAATGTTTGTTAAAACTAATTACCTGGGAAGTTTGTGATGACCCAGACACAGTCTGAATGCTGAAGAGAAAGCATTTAGGGTTGTGTCTCTGTGTGTCTTCAGAGGATTATATTAGTATGCTTACTTTTATATTCCAGGCACTGAAGAAGTTGAAGGGTGTGTGTGTACGACTGTCCATGGGTCCCTGTCTCGTGGAGGCATGCACATCTGCTCTTCTTGCCCACTTCCTAATGGGTTTACCATGGCAGTGGGGATTTATACTGGGGTAATGGGTTTGTTTTTTTTTTTTTTTGGCTTTGTTGTATGAAAATATGGAGGGATATTAAGGACTTTCTTTGATCCCATACAAGAGAATACATAATAGTATTTTCTTAAGAACACCAGAAAATGCAGCAGAGATATCCAGTATCATCTAAATATTCTAACTTCAAACTATGGTCTGTGTCTCTTTAGACACTAACTTTTATGGTAATTACGATAATTCAAACTATTGAAGAAGGTGTGGTCTTTTGTCTCCATCTGATTGTAAGCTTGTGAGAGAGATGCTGGATCTTACCCCAGAGTCTACACAAAGGATGATTAACATAGCAATCATGATCAACACCTGCAACAGTGTCTCTTCTACTAGCAGCCTTTTATTCCTAATACTTAATAGACATGAGAAGCAAATAAATAAAGAAGTACTTAGTAGGAATTTAGTGCTAATAAGTAGGCTAGAAGGATGAAATTCTTCTCATGGTTAAGATTCTGGATTACCTGGAATCCAATCCCAGCTTTGTGATTTTCCAGAGTGTGATTTTTGACAAATTATGTAGTCTGTCTGTACTTCAATTTCCTCACTTATAAAATGATGGTAGACTGTATCAATCTCATAGGGCTGTTAGGAAGATTAAATTAGTTAATATATGTGAAGTGCTCAAAGTGGTGTTAGGCACATAAAATGTTCTTCAGTATTACAACAGCTGCTATTATTATTTTTTTAGTTGTAGATGGACATGATATCTTTATTTTTATTTATTTATTATCATGTGGTGCTGAGGATTGAACCCAGTGTCTCACACATATGAGGCAAGCACTCTAACCCCAGCTCACAACTGCTGCCATTATTAAGATCACTGTCACTGTCATTTCGGCTTTCTTGTTTGAATCTGTTGCCTTAATTTACATACCAAGCTCTAATTGAAGACCCAGCATCATTGGGTACAAGTTCAGAACAACCATGGCCATTTTTCAGACCTCTTAAAATGAATGGTTTGTTTTTAAAAAGGTAGCTTTGCCGGGGCCTAACCCAGTGAAGACTTCTGTACCATTCATAACTATTTATTCTAGGCAACCTAAATAGTTCCAAAACAGGTTGTTCATGGGTATACGTATTTTGGAAAATGATGTTCTGTAGAACTTTCATGTGCATAGTGTTTCTCTGCCATTCAAGATTATAGCTGTCCAGAATCTAACTTTTAAAGCAGTAGAGGTTGTTGTAAATTTTTTTTTTAATAATAAGAATGGGTAGAATATGGTTACATGTGTCTGAAGCAGCCTGTACTTAGTTTTGTCCTAGGAGCCGTGTCTCCAGCTGTCGTGGTGCCGTCCATGCTCCTTTTGCAGGCAGGAGGCTATGGTGTTGAGAAGGGGGTCCCGACCCTACTCATGGCTGCTGGCAGCTTCGATGACATTCTGGCCATCACCGGCTTCAACACATGCTTGGGCATGGCCTTTTCCACAGGTAGACTAATCTGTTCCTATGTTGGTCTCTCATTCTTTTTTTTTTTTAATGTGGTGCCAAGGATCGAACTCAGTGCCTCATGCATGCTAGGCGAGCACTCTACCATTGAGCCACCACCCCAGCCCCTGGTCGCTCATTCTTGAGAGACATAGGTTAAAATGTTGGAAGCATAGCATATTTGCATGAGGTAAATTCAAATTCGGGGAAACATGGGTAAAAGTCCTGAACCTAGAGAGGCACCGAAGTATCTTTATTCACTTCTTCCCTCTAGATACAGATTGCTCAAGGAGTGAGCAGCCAGTGCAAGCAAGTTTAAAGCCTTCCTTGGAGAGATCTAGGAAAACTTAATTCTAGAGATTTCACACACACAAAAAAATAAAAGCAATGATTTTAATGGGTAGCATACTAATATTAATACATACTGCAATGGATGTATTTTGTTTCAAGTAGTAACAAAAGAGAAACTGAAGGCATTCCTCTCTGCTGTTATTTAATACCTTTACTGAAAGGATGTTAACAGATACTACACTTGATCTTAGGCAAAAGGCTAAGAAGAGATTCAACACCTTTATTATCCTTTGACATAGCACAAGATTAAGTTTCTTTTTTAATCTTTTGCAAAAATTGGAAAATAAAATTTGTAACCTCCTATTATTGACAGAGTGTAATTATAGCCTAAGTTTAGCTTCAGATTCTTCAGTAAAAATACTTTTTTGAAAATTTGCTATTCTCATTCTCTTCAATCCCTACAGTTATCTTTCCATTTTATGATTATATATGATTCATACAGATTATCTAGAACCTCACCCCTTATTATATTTCAGAGTCAGCCTTCCTCCAGTCCTGGTAAATTACATCATCTTTTCAAAACATTATTTTCATGATGTTACTTTCTTGTTCAAGCACCAATAAAAATTAAAAATTTTCTTTTTACCTATGAGTTCCAATTGACATTCTTGTCTTAATTTTAACTCTCCTGAACCTATGCAGACCATGTTCTGGCTGCTTTCCTGGTATATGTCTTTAAAACAATTGTTCTCAGCCTTGAAAGCACATTAGAATTATCTGGGGAATATTCTTTTAAAATACTGTTATGTAGACATTACCTTAGACCAATTAAACCAGAACTCTTGGGAATGGAAACCAGATCTGCCAGGATGAGGAACCACTGCTTTGAGCAGAGTCTGCATTAACATCACACTGAGGACTGGGAAGAAGGGGATGAGGTGAGAAATGGAGTTGAGAAGAGGGTCCAGGTCGGGGGTTTTATATTCTGGGGGAGGGCGGAGGGGAAGAATGTAATAACTTCAAGAACCTTCCAAGCTGATTCTGTCATATTAATCTGCCTTACCCCCTAAGTTTGGTCCTCTGATCTTTTGGATCTGAACCCTGATAGGTTACTGAATTAGATATTTCAGGGGAGATGCCCAATGTGTGTGTGTGTGTGTGTGTGTGTGTGTGTACATATGTGTGTGTGTGTGTGTATTAATACCAGTGATTGAACCCAGAGGTGCTTAAACACTGAGCCACATCCCCAGCCTTTTTTTTTTTAATTTTGAGATAGGTTTTTTTTTTTTTTTATAAAGACCTTATTTTACAAAAGACTGAAACTAATTAGGTACTGTATTTCACCGCATAGTCATTGCTACTGCATTAACATATATTCACAAGTATTCCATACACCCTAATCATGCATCAAAAAGTTTAGTAATAAATGATTTTTAAGTAATACTAGCACAATTTAAAAATAAAAGTTTTGAGTAATGGTTGCACCCCACATTTTATAAAAAACAAACAAACAAACAAAAACTTGGTATAAAATCTACAATGATTAACAGTGGTATTTGATACATTTTTTTCACTTAGAATACATTATTTATGGTAACAGCTTGAGCACAATGCTGCTATTGTAGCGAGAGGCTTTTGAAAGGCACACCATTTACCTAGCAGAGATACATTAGCTAAATAAAATTACATCAGAGGGAATTCTTTTTAAATAAGATAAGTGATTGCCATAATCACAAGAAGTCACAATAAGAAGTACAATTATTTCCTTTAGGACAGTATTAAAGAATTGCTGATGTGTAGGACAATTTTAATATAATTTTCTATACAATGTGCTAACGAAGATTGTTTTAAAAATTAGTTTCCAAAATCCTATTTGCTGTGAGGAGAGAAATGTAGGTTCTGTTTACTGCTTTATTATAATATTTCAAAGAGGTTAAGCAACAAAGAGCCTTCTAGGGGAAATTTCAAAAATAATTTCAGATTTATTTTTAGAGTAAACATTTTAGAAGAAGAAGACAGTTCTTGATTTTAATGACCAGATTCTCTTTTCCCCACTGCAACACTGGAGGTTCAATTCAGGGCCTCACACACACACAAAAGGAAAGTGCTCTACTACAGAGCTACATCCCCAGTTCATACAAGGTCCTTAAGTTACGATATTCCATACAAATCAGAGCTACTAAAATCAATGTCTATCTGTTAATTTTTTTTTAATATCCAGCTCTTAAGTGGTAATTTGAAAACTTAACTACATCTGTTTACTCCCTTTGCCTATACATATAATGTCGTAGAACAAGCTAGGTCTGAGTCATGAATTGAATTTTTCACAATTTGTCAGGCCTTTTAAGTAGATAAGGTAAACATAAAGAAGTGCATAAATTATACCTTATGCTTGTTTTGAAATTGATTCCCAATAATCTGAATACTCTTATAAGATAGACTCATTTTATTAGACATTTAAAAACACTTAGATTTAAGAATGTAAAGAGTGGGGCTGGGGATGTGGCTCAAGTGGTAGCGCACTCGCCAACCTGGCATGCGTGAGGCGCTGGGTTCGATCCTCAGCACCACATAAAAATAAAATAAAGATATTGTGTCCACCTAAAACTAAAAAGAAAATATTAAAAAAAGAGAATCAGCTACTTAAGAAAAAGAATGTAAAGAGTAGGACATGTTTGTAAGAATTTCGTTCCACATATTTAGGTGCTTTATGTTGGTGGTTGTGGTCTAAAGCTTGTGTATTTTATGGATTTAGAGTTCTGGAGTTTTTCTTTTTTGTGTTTTTCAGGCTCCACAGTTTTTAATGTCCTCAGAGGTATCTTGGAGGTGGTAATTGGTGTGGCAACTGGATCTCTTCTTGGATTTTTTAATCAGTATTTTCCAAGCAGTGACCAGGTGAAAGAATTAATCTGTAGGAAAGTTACACTCTAAAATGTCACTAGAAAAATACTTTAGAATACTTCCCTTAAAGTAGATATGAGGGACATGTTTCATAAAATGGTTCATCTTTTTAAAGTTGCTTATTGCTATGTCTATGCTATTCATGAAATTTATGATGAAGGCTGAAATATATGAGATTTTAATGCAGTCCTGGGTTATATTTGTATTTTATATGAATACATTATATTATATAAAATATATTATGTACATTTTGAATTTCACATTAAAATAAATAACATCAATTCCAAAATAATAAGATATGCGTGTTTTTTGAAGTTTCATAATATTCAACTAAGTTAAGATTATATGATGGCTTTTTTTGGATCCTCTTTTTTAGTATCAAAATATCTTAGATTCTAATATTTTCAAATAGATAAGACTTTTAACATCTTATTAAAATACAATAAAGCATTTCTTTTCAAGTAGATCAAAGTTCTTGACTATACACAATTATTTCCTAATGAGAAACAAATGTTTTGTTTTCTTCTCCTATTTCTTGTTGAGCAGATAAACCTATGAAAATATGTTCTTTCTATAAATTGGCCTTATTCTGAAGTTTCAGAGTATTTTGAATAGAATCATAAACTTAACAACTATAAATAAATTTAATTAATAAAAATAATGGTGGATGTGGTGACACATGCCTATAATCCCAGCAGCTAGGGAAGCTGAGATATGAGGATCTCAAGTTCAAAGCCAACCTCAGCAACTTAGTGAGGCCTTAAGCAACTTAGTGAGACTCTGTCTCAGAAATAAAAAATGCTGGATGTTGCTCAGTGGTAAAGCATCCCAGGTTAAATCCTGGTACCATATCAGAGTATATACGGATTTAAATTTTTATTGCACTTCAAAAACTTTCAAGTAAAAATATCTGTAAATAATTTTATGAATGCAGATATTATGGTATTATTCTTTATTCTCTTTTTTGTGGTACTGGGAATTGAACCCACGGCTTTGTGCATGCTAGGAAATTGCTCTACTACTGAGCAACATCCCTAGCTCCTTATAAGATTATTCTAATTGCACAATAAAATAAAAATGACAGCTTACATTTGTTTCTTACTGTGCTAAAATGGCATAGTAAATCATCTAGGGGCTCTGTTCAATATGGCAGCCAATAGATACATGTGACTGTAGCAGATATACATCATTTTTATAGACAGGGCAGACAGAACATTTCTGTCATCACTGAACATTCTGTAGGGAAGTGCTCATCTCGTGCAGTCCACACAATAATCAATAAAGAGAGTACTATTAATATAAACTTTTAACTGATAAGAAAATTGAGGCTTAGGGAAGTAAGTAAGGAGAACAAGGTCATGTATCTAGAAAATAGTGGAGCTGGGAAAGAACTCAGGTAATCTATCTCCAGAGTTGCATGCCTCCCCATCAATCACTTTTAAAGGCCTACTTTCTAAAGTGACAAAGAAATTTGAAAGGGAAAAAACTGCACAGTTCTTACACTTGGCAATAACAAGAACAAACAACTACTGTCTCAGTCTGTTGGCTCTTAAAGCATGTTGGTATTCAAGAATTAAAAAAAAAAAAAAAAAACCCAAGGAAGCATCCATTAAAGAGAGAGACTGAAAATAATAAAGTTGTACCTTTAAGTTTCACAAAAAACCCTATTGATGTACATTCTTTCAGACATGAAGAAACAGAACTTGGAAAAGTTAAACCAATGATATAAAAAAGTGACTTTTAACCTGTTCTTTCTGGCTCCAAAGCCCATGTACTTTTTGGTGCCACTGTCTTAAGCCTCGTGAAATTCTGCATTGATAAATGCAGAGGAAGAGAACTGGTGTTCCTAAAAGAGGATCTTACATTGGTATCTCTGCTTATTAAGGAAGAGAAAATAAATGTCATACACTGAAATGGACATTTTCATTTCCCTCTACATTGTGGATATGGAAAAATAAATAATTAACAATCGGTTATTTGAATCAATAATTAAAAATCAATTTGAAATAATTGAGCTACATCAGCATTTTTCTCTTAAAGGACAAGCTTGTGTGGAAGAGGGCATTCCTGGTTTTGGGGTTCTCTGTGCTAGCTGTGTTCAGCAGTGTGAACTTTGGATTTCCTGGATCAGGAGGACTGTGCACATTGGTCATGGCTTTCCTTGCAGGCATGGGATGGAGCAACAAAAAGGTGAGCAGCATTTTAAATCTGGCTAATGGTTCTTTTTGGCCAGACTAATTTTTTTCTTTTCAGATACTTTCTTAACATTAAATTAATCAAAATTTTAATCATGAAAGTTATTTTCTGTCCATATGCAAATGTATACTCAGTGCATACATGCATATCCTTTTCCCTCCTTACATATTAATTTAAACTTGATGCTTTACTTAAAAATGGATCATGGTCATACTATCCTGATGTCTTCCTTATTCTGTTTATTTTATTTTTATTATCTTTTGTGGTTTTAGGGATGGAACTTAAAGCCTCATACATGCTAGGGCAGGGCTCTGCTACTGAGCTATATCCCCAACCCCTGTTTTTGTTTTTGTATTTTGAGAGAGGGTCTCACTAAATTGTCCAGGCTTACCTTGAACTTGTGATCCTCCTGCCTCTGCTTCCTGAACAGCTGAAATTATAAGCATGGACTACCATACCAGTCTCTTTCCTTATTGTTATTACGTTTTAATGGTTGCAGAATATTGCACTATATGGGTAGATCACACTTTATTTAACCAGTCTCCTACTGAAAGATGTTTAGATTATTCTAGTTTTATGCCTAGATAAACAGTGCTTCAATAAAATATCCTCACATATACCATATTTCCTAAATTCTAAGACATTTTCAATTCTTACACCATTATTTTATATACAACTAAGAAAGAAAAATACTACCAATTAAACTATACCATAACATTCTAATTTCAGAAATGTAAAAATGTCTTAAAATCAACAAAATATAGTATATCTTTGAGTTTCTCTATAGAATACATTTTTTAGAAATAGGATTGCTCTAGGAAAGAGTATGCATAATTGTATTTTTGAGAGTTATCAATTTTCTACATTAAAAAGTTGTACAGATTTACATTCCCAACAATGGTATATAAGAGGATCTGCTTTTTTTATTTGAGTAATTTTTAGTCTTCAGATAGTTTGAAATCTGAGAGGTGAAAAATATGTCACTACTAATTTGATTTATTTTTCTTTATAAGTAAAGCTAATGATCTTTTCATGAAATTACTAGCTAGTTTGTCAAAAGTTTTTTTTTCATTTTAATAAAATTATTTTGGTTTTTCTTATTTTCAAAAACATTAAAAATATTCATTTTCTCAATATGTATTATGAAAATTGTCTGGTTGCCATTTATTTATTTTAATTTCCAGATTCTTTTTTTTTAATAAATTTGAACTTGACAAGATCATATGCTATTCTGTAAATGAGTGGGTCAGTGCTTCCAGGCTGGCAGGGGGGACAGAAAGCAGAATCCTTAGAAAGAAGCAAGGCAGCAGCACACCCCTTCATCCTATAACCTTGCCTCTACCCACAAGGAAAGTGAAGTGATAGGAAAATGAGGGATGATATAAGTACTCAGTTTATAATAGGAAGATTCTCTTTAATAGATAAATATCAAACTAATGACTCTACCTTATGTATGAATGAGTCTATAGGTAATTCTTAAAGTTTGCTGATGCTTCTAGTCTGGGGACCACACTCAAACACTAGCTTTGAATATTGTTGTTTTTGATCTTTAGTCATACTAAGAGGTAAAATGTAGTATCTTGTTTTCTTTTAAGCTTCTTTTATGAACAATGAAATTGAACCTTTTAAAAAATGTATTTAACCATTTGTATTGTTTCCCTTTTTCATTGACAGGTCTTTTTTGTCTGTTAGTTTCTGCTTTCTAGAATTGTATCTGCTTACTTTTCTACCAGTAATAATGTGATACCTATCTCATTACAACTTCATCTGCTTAGAATATAGGTAGACCATGATGGGAATCTGTATGTCTGAAGTATAAAGTGTTGATTGTTAAGTTATTATTAAGTATATGCACTCACATACACATCTAAATATATGATATTAATCTTTTGCACCTTTTTTATCTTGTTCAGCACTCAGATCTCCTATTTTCGTGGCATCAGACCTATCAATATCTTATTATGAGCTTTTCTCTCATAATTTAAAATTTTCCTTAAAGATATCTCACTTATTTACATTAATAACCTTGAAAGGTAGATATTAGACCTATTTTACAAATGGGTACACCAAGGATTATTAATATTTAATAGATTGCCTAAGGTCAAATAGCTAGTAAGTGGCAGACCCTGGATAAAAACAGGCGATTTTTGTAAATCAAAATGGTTCCTTAAAGAAAGGAAAGAAAACTAATGTTTATTGAATCAGTAATATGCAGATACTCTCCGTGTCTTTTCTAATTTAGGACCCTAGATAAGTTCCTACTTCTGAGGGCACCAAACCAATGAGTCCAGAATTGGGATTCTTTTCTTCCTTGTTCAATAGGATAACATAGTCTAAGAGCTGAGATTTCTAATGCTAATCTCTACTCTGTAGTTTACTACTATATGACCATGTAGAAATTATCTAATTTCTCAAGCTTCAATTTACTTTTCTCTAAAATGGGGAGTGATTATAGCAACATCTTCATCAAGCAGAGGAATAAGTGAAATCCTCTAGAGCTTTTAGCACTTAGTCTTTGAATGAATACTTAGTAAATAATAGCCCTTATTATTTCTGTTGACTACTACCAAAGCAGCATGACATAATGGAAAGTGTATAAGATTTAAGCTATGGAGATGGAATTCTAATTCCAGTTCTACTACCCCTAGCTGTATAATCCCAAGCAAATTATTTGCCTTCTTTAATACTGTTTTCTCAACAATAAAATTATTTTTAAAAATTCTAAAAACTTGTTGTAACTATTACATAGGAAAATGGAAATGACACTCCTGTAAATTCTCCAATACTTTAGCAACATTGCTGTTAAGTTGTTATACTTTCTTTTTTTCTTTAAATATTTCTTGAAGATAGAACACCACACTTCCACTCAATTAAGAAAAATATTTTACTGTCCAAGGAGATTTTTTTTGTTTTTTGTTTTTTTGTTTTGTTTTTTTGCAGCTATTATACCATGATAGGTTCCAGAAGCTCAGATTTTTATTTTTATTTTTTTACTAGTTCTCACGAAGTGTGCTTCTCTGGGGAGTGCGGGCTTGTGCTTCAGTTGAACCCAGCTACTTTTTCTTTGGCTTCCTTCTTCTGATCATTTTCCTTCATGCACACACTTCAGAAAGATATCTTGGGTTGATATGATCGATATACACATTAATTCTCTTGGCAAAACCTTGACCTTAGCTTGCATGTTTACATTGCCAACAGCATGCTGGGCAGCTTGTAGGCTCCCTGTTTTGCCGCGGTAACATTTGTGGGGCATTCCTTTTGAACAATATCCATTCCCTTGATGTCTACAATATCATCCTTCTTGCATATTCCCAGGAATGTGACCAAAGTAACAACTTCATGTTTTCTAAAAGGCCTGAAGAACATATATCTGGTGCCTCTCCTCTTTCACTTTGTGCTTATTATTTTGGCAAATTGCTGGAAGATAGCAGTTCCCCAAGTTGTTATACTTAAAGAAACTAAAACATTTTATAAAATTGTGTTTATGTATGTATTTTTCTGACACAATCTCATGTTTTTCTGCTTAGTTTTCCTTATAATCATTAATTGTGTCATTTAAATATGGTCACCATTTTAAATCCCTCATTCATCTGTGTTTTCAAATTCAGTGCTTCGTTTGATGACCCTTATAATTATGAGGTTTTCTTTTCTTCATATACTTTGAATTTTATGAATTGCTAAATTATCTGAGAATTATCAACTCAAGTAGATATTTAACTCATAAAGAAATCTCCCCTCTTTCTCTTAACTTTCTTCTTTTGTCCATCCTTGGAAGTGATTTACATTTCTGAGGATTTTATAATGATGTATAAAGATGTATAAAGTAGCCTTAATTTTCAACAGATAATAACTTTTATTGCTGTAGTCTTAACTCTTTTGTACTTTGCCTATTTGATGACTCCATTTTATTTAAAAAATCATTTTAGTTTTTAAATTATGTAAAAGCCATAAGAAGATGTGATTCTTCTCCCATTTTAAAGTTTTACAGTATATAATAAGCCCATGTCCAGTGTCATAATAAAAAAACAAATTGTGGCTTTTGTCTGCTATTTAGAAATAGAAGTAATCTGATAAACTCTTTAGTTTTTCCACTTTTATTGGTGTCCTGAATGTATGAAATATATTTGAAGACTCCCCTTAAAATTAGTCACACCAACAAAAAACTAAGCAACTTAAAGTTAGCATCGTTCATTCTTTTTTTTTATCATTATGATTATCAATTAAAGTCTAAGCTTTCATTATGATATACTAGAAAGATTAAATTAGGGTAAAATTTAAAGATGTGTGGAAGGGTAGCAAATGGACCTGAGTTTTGGTAGAACTAGTTTTTGTCATTCAATGGTAAAGAATCTTAATATAAATCGAGTTCATAACCCACTTGAATCAAATGTATGAAAGATGATATGTCATGAGCTTTGTAATGTTTTGAAAACCAATAAAAAAATCTATTATTTTACAAATAAGGTACTGAGATGTAGGCTACTTGCAATTAATGGTGATAGATTTGAACCTAAGTTCATCTCTTTCCTTATGATGTGAAACTATAAAGTTTTTGTATTTTATAGCTATAGAACTGTTAAATAAATCAAACCCTAAAGTGCTTTGTCATTCAACATTTATAAGCTAACAGAAATAGAATCTTCACCCTAATAAACATACCAGAAATAATAAAAATTAAAATGAAGGGAAAAGTGAAATAATGTAATCTTTCTCTGTCAATTTGCTTAATAAGGAATTACAGATCCTTAAAGAGATATGACAGTGAGCATTAAATGTCATCCAAAAATATAGATTCTTATTAGTTAATTGAAAAGAATATCTGTTCAATGTAAATTCTTAGACAATGTTAACAGATACTAATTTCTCTTCCATAAAAAAGCTTATCAATTTCCTCTCCTACCTATTAGAGTTTCCTTGCAATCTTACAAATACTTGACATTATGAAAACTTAATATTTTTTCTTATGTGATGGGTCCTCCCTTCCACCTCCCAAAAGATCATTTTAATTTGTGTTTCTCTGATTTCTGAGTCTTAGCATCTTAAGTTTTTTTGACCATTTACACTTTTGTGTTAGAAATATCTTTATTTACTTGTTTTGCTGTTCTTAGCTAATCTTTTGTTTATAGTTGTCACAGAAATAAAGCCTATCTTGAGCTGGGGATGTAGCTCAGTGGTAGAGTGCTTACTTAGCAATGCAGGAGGCCCTGCATTTGATCTCTAGCAACACACACACACACACACACACACACAGGAAAGAAAGCAAGCAAGCCTGTCTCAGATCAAATTAATCTGAAACAATTAGTTAAGTTCTTGGCATTTGTAGCTTCACATAATAAAAATGCATGTGTTTTGTTTGTTTTCTTTAGGCAGAGGTTGAAAAGATAATTGCAGTTGCCTGGGACATTTTTCAGCCACTTCTTTTTGGACTGATTGGAGCAGAGGTATCTATTGCGTCTCTCAGACCGGAAACTGTTGGTAAGAATTTCAAAGTGGTTCTTGTACTAAAATCAGATCTTTTTATATTCAGGAGAAATATCTTCAATGGTTATGTGTTCAGTGGTTCCCATTTTTACAGTTAAATAAAAAGTTAATTATGATCTGAATCTTTTAGAGTGGTTGGTTAGAAAACAATGTTTGTTAATCTCAGACAGTAAATTCTATACCTTTAATACAGTTCCTGGTAAAAAAAAAAAAAAAAAAAAAAAAACACTACTGACTCCTATCCAGAAAATTCAGGTATTAAAATTCTTTTTTGAAGGATAGGAATGTACATCTAGCCCTGATCTGATTAAGGGCTGGAATTTTAAAGATAACTAGTTAGTTCTATAATATGTACCCATGGAACAGAAATGTTTGTTGTTCACTCAATCTTTTATTCACTCAAACAATTCAAAAGTACATTGATTCACACACAGCAATGTGTATACATATTCATTCTTTTCTCCTTTCCTCATCACAATATTCTCCTATCCATAGTAAGAGTCCCATCCCTGCTACTGCCTTCTGAATCACACATATAGATTCTTTTCTTTTTCTCATGTATCTTCAAATATCCTTGTTACAGTTTTCTCCTCTTTAGAATTTAATCAGTCTCTAATCTCACTTATCTTTTTTTAAAATTTTTATTTTGTAGTTGTACATGGACAGAATACCTTTATTTTATTTGTTTATTTTTATATTGTGCTAAGGATCAAACTCAATGCAAGCATTCTATCACTGAGCTACAGCCCGAGCCCAAATACTGAAAAATAAATATTAAAAAATTCTCTGTCTCTTCTCTCTCTCTCTCTCTCTCAAAAAAGATATTCTTAAAAAAATAAAAATAAAAAAAGATATTCTCCCATTCTCACCATGCTACAACATGGTTAAACCTTGAGGACATTAGGCTAAGTGAAATAAGCCAGTAACAAAAAAATTAATACTATTATGACTCCATTTATATAAGGTATCCAGAGTAGTTTGATTCATAAAGAAAGTAAAATTGTGGTTGTCAGGGGCTGGGGTTAGGGTAAAGTGAGCACAGAGTTTTTAAATTTTTAAGTTTTGCAAGGTGAAAATGTCCTGAAGATTGGCTGCACAATAGTATGAATGTGCACTTAAAAATGGTTAAGTTGGTAGATGTTATATGTATTTTACAATTTAAAATAATGCATACATGGAAAAAATGTATTGAAATTAAATAAATACATGTATTCTTTCTTCATTTATCTTGCCCATTACTTATAAACATTATTTCTTTTTTCCTCCTTTCAAACTTAGATTCCATTTAAATTCCCATTCCCTTCCTCTATACATTTCATTCTACTTCTGGCCCATCATATAACCAACTGTGTTCTCAGAATGATTTCATTGCTAAATCTTGCCTTTCTTTTACTTGATTTCTCAAAATCATTTGGTGCTATGTCTCTTTAAAACACTCTTACATTGAATTCTGCTATTTTCCAGAGTCCCCCAAGTCCTCATTTATAACATATGTAGCTTAAACATTGCTCTTCATCAAAGTTTCTACCAAGGCTTTTCATTCCTCTATCAATTCTCTGATCTTACTTATACCAGTGACATCAATTGTAAACTATCTCATTCCAAAATCAAATCTTTTGTATCTTGTGCAGCAGGCACCAGACACTTTTGAATACACGAGAGAAATATGTTTCAACAAAGAGCCACAAAAACCTTCCATAAAGAAATCATATTGAGGGTTCACAAAAGACCCTCCTGTGATATCTATCCTTTGAACTTGAAAAAATAACATCCCTTCTCAACTTCACATAGACATTGCAGGAGAATCTGTTGTGAATCTGGAATATGGTTTCTTTATGAAACTCTTGTGGCTCTTTGTTGAAGACACTAGCCGCCTATAGCTCCATCTGATTGGCTCATTCCCTTCATGCTGGCTGATGAATATTTTTAATATCACCTCTAATTTTATACTCTGCAAAGAGTTCTCAATTACTTTGATGAAATATTATTTTTTCCACTTCTATAAATACTTACCAATTTGTTTATCCTTCAGTTATCATATAGTATATATGAATTAGATGTTTATGTTTCTGCCTTTTTCTAATTATAAGGCTCATAGAAGCAAAGTGTGTACATGATACATTTTTGTGTCCCCAGTAACTAGCTTAAAGCTTGTCATGCATGATATCATTTAATAAATTCTTGTTAAACAAGTAGAATAAAGTGTGGCTCTTACTATAAAAGTATATGAGAGATAACATTCAAATCTCCTTTGTAAAAATTCAAATATGTTGAATTTCTGGTTTTAATCTAAGGGAAATATCTGTTTTTGAACAAATTGATCAATACTTAATAATGATTTTTTCATAAATAATGCCTAATCATTGCAATATTTTAATAGTTTAATGTTTTAAAATTATTGATGTTAGTGTTATTTTGAATCAACAACTAAATATGAGATATAACTTCTCCACTAGTATTTTGTTATTTCTAAAAATGAAGTATTTCTTTCAGGCCTTTGTGTTGCCACCTTGGGCATTGCAGTATTGATAAGAATTTTGACTACATTTCTGATGGTGTGTTTTGCTGGTTTTAACATAAAGGAAAAGATATTTATTTCTTTTGCATGGCTTCCGAAGGCCACAGTCCAGGTAATGATGGATAGGATGTCTTAGCACTTTATAAGACTTCTTAAGATGACAAATAAGAAGACTTGTTTAAATTTTGTGAAAATTAATAATTGAGGTGGATTTAGGAAGCATTTATACTAATACACTCTTTAAAAGTTTATTTTTGGTATATTGGTGATTAAATGTGATGGCTCATTTAAATTTCTTTAGCTCACCAGAATATAACTAAAACTCCAATAAATTCCTACAGTACTAGAAACTGGTGGTGACAGGAGGGAATGGTTTGCATTTTTATAAGTTAGAGCTTCCTAAGTCATTGAAAGTGAGAGTTTTTAACTCTTTTTATTTCATTATCTTCCCAGAAGACTAAAACAGAAATGGCTTGACCCATTTAATGTTTTGAGAAACTTCAATGTCAAAAAGATTAGAATAAATTATGATTTGTCAGAAATTTCATATGTAATTGAGAAAAGATTTATTGAAGAAGACCTCAGAAAAATGCTTTACAGTTATCTTCCTTTATCCATAGTTTCACTGTCTGTGGTTTCTCTTACCCATGGCCAACCCAGTCTAAAATATTAAGTGGAAAATGCCAGAAATAAACAATTCTTTACTTTTGAATTACTTACGATTTTGAGTAGCATTGTGAAATATCACACCATCTTATTTTGTCCTGCCTGGGGACATAAATCATCCCTTTGTCCAAAGTATCCACTCACCTGGGGGTCACTTAGTATGTGTCTCAGTTGTCACATGAACTGTTTCAGTCTTGCAGTGCTTGTTTTATTTTCTTTCTTAATTTTTTTTGTGGGGGGGTGGTGGTACCGGGGATTGAACCCAGGGGCACTCAACCACTGAGCCACATATCCAGCCTTGTTTTTGTATTTTATGTAGAGACAGGGTCTCACTAAGTTACTTAGCACCTCACTTTTGCTGAGACTGGATTTGAATTCTCGATCCTCCTGCCTCAGCCTCCTGAGCGGCTGGGATTACAGACATGTGCCACCACTCCTGGCAGTAGTGCTTGTTTTCAAGTGACCCTTGCTTTACTCAATAATGGCCCCAATGTGCAAGAGAGTGATGCTGGCAATTGCGACATGCCAAAGAAATTAAGTACTTCTTTTAACCTTTAGTTTAAATGGTGAAAGTTCTTCACTTAAAGGGAGAAAAACATGGTAATATGTAGGGCTCAGGGCTATCTAGAATTTCATACATCCACTAAGGATCTTGAAACATAATCCCCACAGATAAAGGAGGACTATTGTATTCATTTCCTAGATCATTACTTGTTATTAATAATTCACAACTAGCTGAACTTCCTGACATGTGTCTTGATCACTTGACACAAAGTTTGTGCACTCCAATGAACAACGGACAAAGAAAGCCCTTGAGGATAGGTGCTTGAAACTGTTGACCAAGCAAGCCTTAGAATACTTATTATTGCTAGTTAAATTAGAACTATCTAGATTATGTTTATTGCAAATGCAATGCAATACATCCCTGATTATATTGTGTATTTCCAGATTAATTATATCTAACAAGATTAAACTGTTCTATACCTGATTATTTGGCAATTATTGAAGTATGTAAACTTTTATTGTCATAAACTGAAAATTAGATGCTCTTAATTTAAGTGGCTTTGGAAGATGTGTATGTTCTCTAATTATATTCCAGATTTTGTGTGGCCCTGAGCTTGGGTATTCTTCCTGAAAAAAAAAAATTTTCCATCAGACTTTCAAAGATTTCAGAGATATAATGGCTCAGAGATACCACAATATAGTAAATGGAATAATTTCTCCCTTACAGTGTTTTCAGCTTCCATACAAATTCTAGTAACTTCAATAGATAAATATCAAAATAATGACTTTACCTTGTGTATGAGAGATTTGTTTCTAAATGTTAAAATTTGAAAGCTAGCACTCTCCCACCATCAGAACAACATTTAAAATAAGTAAAATTATCTAGGATGTGTTGGATAATGTAAGTCTAATGGGAGCAAGTACAATCATCTCTCAGTACCCATGGGGAATCGGTTTCAGGACCACATCTAAATACAAACATCTGCAGACACTCAAGTTCCTTATATAAAATGGCATGGTATTTGCATGTAGTTCATACATATACTCCCATATAGTCTAAATCATCTCCGAATTATTTATAATTCCTAATACAATATAAATGCTGTGAAAAGTGGTTATACTCTATTTTTACTTATTTACAAATAAATAATATTTATTTATTTGTCTAGTGATTATTGACAAGGAAATAGACTAGGCACATTCAGTACAGATATATTTTTTTAATATTTTCAATCTGTATTTATTAAATTTATAGATTCAGAATCCATGGACATGGAGGGCTGACTATATTGTATAGAATTTTCTTTTTCTTCTGTTGGCACTACAGAAGAAATAAGACTTTTTAGTATATGCATATTCTATATTAGTGATACTAGTGTTTTTAAACTTTGTGATCTGCTATAAGAAATGTATTTGAAAGCGCAATTCAACATACACACAAAACCCAAAATGTACATACACATACACACATGTGCTGGTCAGCTTTTCATCACTGTGACCAAATTACCTGACAACAACTTAGAGGAGGAAAGGTATATGTTGGGCTTCGGTTTCAGAGGTTCAGTTCATATTTGGTGAACTCCATTGCTCTAGGCCCAAGATGAGGCAGAATGTCATGGCAGCAGGGCATGACGGAAGAAAGCCATTCAGCTTTTCATCACTGTGACCAAATTACCTGACATCAACAATTTAGAGGAGGAAAGGTCTATGTTGGGATCATGGTTTCAGAGGTTTAGTTCATGTTTGGCCGGCTCCCTTGCTCTGGGCCCAAGATGAGGCAGAATGTCATGGCAGAAAGGAATGACAGAAGAAAGCTGTTCAGCTCATATCAGCCAAGAAGAGGAAAAAGCAAGAGAGGAGCCAGATATAGTCCAAGGACATGCCTCCCAGTGACCTCTTTCCTGCAGCCTGCAGTTACCACCCAGTAATCCATTCACATTATCCATTAAATGCATTAATCCAGCTGGAAGGTTACATCTGTCATAATCTAATCATCTCACCTCTGAACATTCCTGCATTGCCTAACACATGAGCTTTCAGTAGATATTCAAGATACAAACAATAACAACACACAATAGAGAACTGAAATAGAAGTAGGCATTGTAATGTAATGTGTGAAGCACATCCAGGAATTCATAAAATGTTGAAATTAGTTACGGAACAGAGTAACCCACAACAACAAAGAGCCTTTGTGTGTAGGGACTAAATAAAACAGATTTTTAAAAATCTTTTACTAACAATCCAGCAAGGACATTCCAGACCTGTCAAGGTGACCACAATCCTCAGCATGTGCCTTCTACCCAGGAGTCCAGCTTTTAGTATTTTTTAAATACAGTTTGAAGGGAGAAATGAATAAAATATATATGTCAATTCCTTTCAGGAACAATTTATAAGTAGCAGTTATCACTTCTACTCATCTCTTAGTGGCCAGAACTTAGATACAAGCTACATCTAGGTATAAAAGAGGCTGAAAAAAATATAAGTTCTCTGATTGAACAGCAATGGGACAGAGAAAACTGGGGAGTTTTATTATAGAAGGGAAAAGAAACATTTAGATATTTGTGGGCAACTAGCCCTTGTGTCTGATGTATAATACCTTCTCTTCTGTTTTATTATTTTAGAGGTGAACATTTTTCTGCTAAGGAATAAGAGGTTAACCACATTGATCAATACATCTTTCCCCATGTACATTCATAGTAATACATTTATCCTCTAAAAGAAAATGAGAATTTTCATAATACCCTCTAGGAGATACATTTTAAATAAAACATTTCACCAACTCTGGTGGCAAAGTTAAACAAATACCTAATAAGATTAACTTCAAGTTTTGAAAGTCTCTGCTGCTTTCATGTTTCATGCTGTTTGAACCATTAGTTCAGGCTCCAAACTAATACTTATTCATTTAAATCTTCCAATAAATATTATTCCTTTTATAAATCATTTTAATTTCACACTTGCAAAGATAAATGAATGAAACAACTAGTAAGTTTCATCTTCACTCCAAAGAAATTTATTATATAGCACTTCAGGCTATATTTGATTAATAGTCCATATTTGCCTTGCGTTTTGAAATGTAGGTGACTGACTATTATTAACCAAGCCTTATGCAAATAGGTACATTGGAGTCAACAGTCTGTCCCCATGCAAGAGCAGAGTTTATAGATAATTAAAAGCAGCTGCAGTAGGTGTTGAAAGAAGACAAATTCAACTTTCTTAGTTGAGCCAAAGAATAAGAATGTTGTTTTTGCAAATGATAACATAAGTCATTTTTAAAAATATGTGCTTGTCTTATATTTCCAACCTTACCCTTAAACTTTTATAGGCTGCAATAGGATCTGTGGCTTTGGACACAGCAAGATCACATGGAGAGAAAGAGTTGGAAGAATATGGAATGGATGTGTTGACAGTGGCGTTTTTGTCCATCCTCATCACAGCCCCAATTGGAAGTCTACTTATTGGTTTGCTTGGTCCCAAGCTTCTCCAGAAATTTGAACATCAAAATCAAGATGAGGTTCAAGGAGAGACTTTTCAACCAGTTTAGAGGTGAAAGAAAAATGCTGAACCCAATGATAAAAAGCTTCTCCCAGAAGCCAATTTTATCAGAATGGATACTCATATATGTAATATTTAAATTTAAAATGTAATAGAACAAAAGTGTTACTGTCTTAAACAGCATTTTTAGCCCTTGCCTTTAGCATGTGAGTGGAAATGTTCTATATCTACGGATGTCTTTTTTTTCCCCTAGCTACCCCTTCATCCTTTATCTTAATTTGTATAAGGACATATCTACTTTACTGCCACGATTTAAAGTCAACATGGCAGAGACCAAGTTCAGTACCTTCCTCAGCTATCCAATAGCTTGTTCTAACTTACTGTAACAGTTTCACGATTCATGGTCACAGCTCTCATGACTTGAGTTGTTTCTGGCTTCTCTTCCTGTTTTATTTTTAAAAACCAAAATGCAGTCGCTTGTCAATTTCTGCCCTTACTATTCTTCTCCTTCTCCATCTTTACCTTTCTCAGTACCTTTCTATGAAGTATTGTAACTGATTGGCCCCACCAAAATTTTAAAGTTTACAAAGTGTCTTCATTGATTCTTGGTCTTGGTCCATCCAGATGTTAAAAGAACCTATCTATCCCCTACCTGGATACTCAGTCGTCATGTCAGTGGCCCTTCTAAATCTACTTCCAATTGTGCCAGTTCCCTGATCCAGCTCTTATTTGTTTCTTGTGGCCCACATCTTTGGGCTTTTCCAATTCTCTAGTAAGAGAGAGCTAATTTTCCAAATCTTGGCGAGTGTCATGAAATGTCACATTAATTGGGGTAATATAAGTTGCTATAAGGAGGGAATCAAAAAATAAATTCTCAAAACACAATTCTGTTTCCCTCTCATGAAACTGGTGGTTGGTTAATGCTAATAAAGGGCTTAGCTCATGGGGCTTCTCTGAGACCCATGTCTTTCTATCGTGAAGGTCTGCCATGCCTTAGCTTAGGACCTGGGTTAAAGACAGATCTCTACCAGGTCTCTTTTTTAGCCCTTGGGGTATAGGAAAAAAAGAAAATGCATGTAAAGCCATTTATTTTTAAGGAAGAGATGTGGAGGTCAGACACATTTCTCCTCTTACTTTCTATTGGTGCTGACATTATCCAGCTGTGAGGAGGCTGAGAAGCATCTCTACCTAAGCATGCATATCCCTAGGGGGAAGGCAAGTTAATACTTGGCCAGAGCCACCATTGTGTTAGGTTTACTAACATTACTTAACAATACTTAACAATGTATTTTTGCATGTTATCAGGGGTTTTTGAAAGATGGTAACTAAAGCAAAAGATTAACTTGTGTCTTGGGAATTCCAGACATTGTGACATAACAGCAGAGAAAATGAGAAGAAAGGCGAACTTGCATAAGTCATATTGTATCCCACTTTAGAACAGGCTCTCTCTGCTTTTATGTATCACCCCAAATTCCTCTAGGAATACTAGGTCATCTCTGTCCTCGCTGCTAAAAGAATAACACTCAAATAGAGTTTAAGTTTCTATCATGACACACACATTAATTTATATATGTGTGCATGTATATATATGTGTGTGTGTGTGTGTGTGTGTGTGTGTGTATCTCCAAAGTGTTTTTTGCTTATTTGTCATATCCCAACTAACCCTTTCGACCTAGAATTCAAAGTACAATCTAATTTTTTAAAAAAAAATTTTGTAGTTGTAGATAGACAGCATGCCTTTATTTTATTTGTTTATTTTTATGTGGTGCTGAGGGTCGAACCCAGTGCCTCACACATGCAAGGCTAGCACTCTGCCACTGAGCTACAGCCCCAGCCCTACAATCTAATCTTGAAGTAGATATTAAATATGTATTAAATAACTAAATTATGAATATTCTAATCCTACAAAGCTAATCTCCAGAATGCCAGCCCTTTCCACCATGGCTCTTCTAACTAACTTAATATTCACTTCTTTTAAGCAGAGTTCATTCTTATGTCAGCCTGACTCTGGTTATTCTCTGGTTCTGTATTTTTCTCAGTATGAATGGAATTAATTGATACCAAAAGTCACATGGGTGTTTCAAATTGAACATTTTTTAATATTTATTTTTTATCTTTAGGTGGACACAATATCTTTAATTTATTTTTATGTGATGCTGAGGATCGAACCCAATGCCTCACTCATGCTAGGCGAGCGCACTACTACTTGAGCCATATCCACAGCCCTCAAATTGAACTTTATTAATTAGGTACACTTTGGTGGGACACCATAAATGTAATGCTCACCTGTTTCTCTACTTTTGCAGACTCTGAAACTTCTTTCCTTCAACAGATAACAGTTGTCCTGGATATCAGTGGAAGTTAGTTTCAAGTTCCCCATTAGATACCAAAATGTATGGATGCTTAAGTTCCTTATATAAAATAGAGTGATATTTGTATACAACAGAAACACATCCTCTTACATACATTAGGTCATCTCTAGATTACTTATAACACCTAATATAATGCCTGCCTATCATTTCATTCACATGTACTGTAGTACTCAGTATGCTACAAATTCAAGTTTTGCTAGTTGGAAATTTCTGGATTTTTCACCAATATCTTTGATCTCCAGATTGTTGAATTCATAGATGTGAAACCCCCAAATAAAAAGGCAACTGTACTTACTGAAAGTCTTTGGTGATGCAGGCACACCATCAGGACTAGTCCAGTTCCTCTCCTTAAGGATTTGACAGCTTAGTAGAAGAGGCAAACAAAAGATTACAAAATAGCTTAAGTGCTATTATACAGAACTACAAGAGTGTAGGAGCATCCAATCAATCCAGAGGTGGTTTAGGTGCAGTTTAGGCATAGCTCCCCAAAGAAAGTAGGGCCTTGGCCGAAGGATGTTAGGACTTAGCCAGCTAAAGGGGTGTGAGGCAGCAGGGTAAGGCCACTGCCAACAGTAAAGAGAGAGAGGAAAGCCTTGGACAGTGGAAGAAGCTTTGGTCCTTTGTACATTCTATGGACTTCCATTTCTAATACTTTGGGGTCCTGAATACTTTTTATAGTATTCCTATTTGGTTAAACCAATTGTATTTTGTATAAGTTAATTAGTATTCCAGACAGTTACTTGAAGAAATTACTACTGATGACATAACAAACTGAATTCACAGCATCACCTTCCTCTAAGAGGTGTTCCTCAACTTCCCCACTAAGAACAAGTTGTAAATTTTTCATTTGGATTTCAGCTTTTGTACATGCCTTATTTGCTAATAAGGTTCGTAGAGGTGATACTTGACATGGGTCTTCCAGAGTGGACAGAACTAGGATGGATAGGCAAAGAGTAAGGTAAAGATGGGAATAACAGGGCTGGGGATGTGGCTCAAGCAGTAATGCGCTCGCCTGGCATGCGTGCAGTCTGGGTTCGATAAAAAAAAAAAAAAAAGATGTGGAAGGCTGGAAGATTAGCAAAGTTTGAAGACAGTGAAGTCTGGAGCATAGTGATTGGCACTTGAACTTGATAAAGAGAATTACTGAGAGATAAGGCTAGAAAAGTGTAGAGAGCCAGTCATGGGCTATGTGTGTAAGCTGTGAGTATTTGAGCGCATGAGGGGACTGGACTGACACTGCTTCTCTGATTAATATTATATTCTATTTTACCTCAGTGTTTTTTTCCTAAAGTTATTTTGTACTCTGGGAATGTGTGTGTTCTTTTCGTTCACTCTGCCTTTGATCCCACACACCCCCGAGATGGCATGGCTTTCCAAGATGTTGGTCAAATCTGCTAACTGCAAGACATCACCAAGCAACTCCCTAAAACCAATCCCTTGCCTTATTTGGGTTGAAATTTCTAGAATGTCTTTCTCCCCAGTAAATAGAGGATTTTTAGGTGGCTCTCTCTCTCTCTCTCTCTCTCTCTCTCTCTCTCTCTCTCTCTCTCTTTCTCTCTCTTTCCAACAGACTCTTAAGGTCAAGAGCTGTCCCCGATTCCTGCAAGCATAAGGTATTTCTGTGTGTTGCGTGTTTCTTTCGCTGTTTTCTTAAGTTATTGGTGCAGCTTTTGTAAACCCAGCTCAGGTCGCCAGCCCAGCTAGCTGGTGATAGAAAAAAGAGTTGGCATTGAAATTATACTTAATAGGTCATTGATCAAATTTTTATTTTATTGAAGTACAATCAGAAATAGAAAACTACTAATGTAAAAGATATTTTAAAAGCTACTTTTAATCATGTCAAATATAGTGGAAATGTCAGTATAAGTAAGGTTCTAATTTCTGAAAAATTTTTTTGCTTTCTTTGGCATTTTTTAATACAATTGATTTAATTATTTTAAATTTATGTTAGTTATTTACAAGCAAGGATATCAGATAGATTAAAAATTCTAAGACCATTGTTAAAGTTTCATTATATTGTCTTCAAATAAATGAAAGACATTACTATTTAAATGTCTCAGAATATTTTCCATATAAATCATTTATATAGTTCTCTGTAACAGGGGAAATTGCTTCATGCCATTTTGGAAACAAGAAATACCACCTGTTTTAGATGACTCATTCAACTTAAATCTAGCCTAGCACTGACCTGGTGGAAATTCTCAAAGTGCATTTGTTGATGTGCCCTTCATCTTCCTCACATGGATCCTAAAGTACTCAGATCTCCAGGAGTCTTAAGCACAGAGCAGTGCTATTGTATCCATCAGACTTCTGGGACAGGTTCTTCCTCCCAGCTCTGCCATCTATTCCTCCTTCCAATATCCTTGGAGATCTAACTGTGTTTCCCACAGGCTCAAGTCATTACCTTACCCTAAGACAAAGACCCTGTCTACTTTGTAAAGGGAGAGAGAAAATAATTCCAATCCTTGCTGAGAAAGTTACACCATGTTGAAGGTGCTATAATAAAGATGGGTTCTTATTGTCACTCAAGAAAGAGATGCAATTTGAGTCAGACCCTGTGTTACTCACTTTCATTCACTGTACAAAATACCTGAAATAATCAGCTTGTAAGAAGGAAACATTTATTTGGGGTTACTATTTCAGAGGTTTCAGTCCATAGTTAGTTGGTCCCACTGCTTTTGGATCTGTGATAAGGCAGAATGTTATGGCAGAGAAGCTGCTCCCCTCAAGGCCAGGAAGCAAAATCAGAACCAGGAAAAGGGTAGGGGTCCCAGCATTCCCTTTAATAGCTTGCTCTCACTGTCAACTTCCTTCCCCTAACTTCCACATCTTCAAATTTCTACAACCTCCTAATAGCAAGCACCACGGACTGGCAACCAAGCTATTAGCATATGGGCTTTGGGGGGATATTTAGAATCTACCATAACAAACTTAAATATGAAAAAGAGAAAGTGAACATTCCCAGAGTACAAAATAACTTTAGGAAAAAACATAGAATAGAATTTATGTTACAAAAAATAGAATACAGTGTTAAGTAGTAAAACTTGTTTTGATTGTCAGAAGTTAGATAGGAAAGAACAGTTTGTCTTTCTAAAAGTTTTGGACTTTCTTCAATAACAGTGGTTTTTCAACTATTTTAGGAAGCTTGGGAATTCCATTAGAGGAACTTGATGGACCACTGTGTGTACACAAACCCCAAAGCTTCTGGACCCACCTTCAACCAAAATGGATTTCATTTAAAAATTTCCTCATAAGATTTCATGAGCAAAAAATAAAAAGGTTTTATTTTGATAACAGAATATTGTTTTCTTTGTACCAAACCCCGTCTCAGATACTTGCCTTCTCTCATTTGTACTCAAACCAACACCACAACATCCTTTACAGATGAGAAAACAAGGTCAAGAAGATAATAATGTCTTCGTCTAGATCCCACAGGTAGAAAGTGACAGAACTGAACTTTGAACCCAGGTAGCACTAACTCCAGAGACTATGTTGTATTACTCTTTGGCATACTTAAGCTAATTTCAGGTCAGGGAAAACCCAATCAGAATTTTGACAAGGTATACTTTTGGCCCCTGCAATCCTAGGCACTGCTTCCTGGCTAAAATGCCCAATGGTGTCAACTTTGTTTCTGGACTTTTAAAACTTGATAAGTCAATATTCAGAAGTCATCTAAAGAAAAGGGTCGAATAAACTCACAGGGCACTGGAGGAATCAAGACAGCTGGGATGTCACTGAAACGTGCTGCCGCCAGCCCCGCCCTTTATTTTCTGGCCCCGCCCCCTACCTCCGCCGGCCCCGCCTCCGACCGCCGCCGGCCCCGCCCCACAGCGTGAGGCGCGTGGACTGCACAACCGTTGCTGGGCGCCTGCGCCGGCGAGGGTTGCCAAAGAAGTTGTAGGTACGCCCATTCTTCTGGATTCTCCCTTTCCAGGCCTTCTCCCACCGATATTTCCCTTTCCGTAGCCCCAAAGAACAAATTTTCCCTCAGTCTAAGAAGGACATATGGGCTCCAGACGGCTGGGGAAATACACCTTTCCAGGCCTTTCCCTGACTCAACGCACATGTCCCTTTTCTGGCCCTTCCTCTGTTTTCTTTTTCTCCTCTTCCAAGTACTTACAAGAAAGGCTTTTTACTCAAGATTTGACTGCAAAAACTTTTTATTAAGTGTAGACTATTATTACACATGGTGAATGTTTGCAAACGAACCTTCCATGCTCCAGTGATTAGAGATGTGGAGAAGGGTTCAGCATTTGTTGCTGATCCTGAGAATGTCCCAACCCTGCTGTTCTCCTTGGCTTTGTCACAGTGGACCAGCACTGAAAATCAGTGCTTTTGAAGGATAAAGAACAGTTGTTGCACACAAATGGTGTCAGGCACATCATTCAGAAGTTTTATAACAGTTATGCAAGATCACACCAGGCCCGGACAGAGCCTAAGAAAGATGAGATTGGGCTGTGGGGAGTGGCGATTGGCTAGGCTGGCATCTAGGGAAGCCACGTGGCACAATCTCTGATTTTTCATAATTTTAAATAGAATTATTTTGGGGCGAGAGAAATGTAAAAAGTTAAGCATCACTATCACAGATAGAGGATTCACTCCCCAAACATTTCATTGCTATGTGTCTATGAAAAAGATGTTCATATTTATTACCTTCTGTGAATACCAAAATTTATAATGCTACTTTTTAGTTGACTTTTGTCATAAGTTTCTGTTACCAGACAAAGGAAAGAGGCAGGTGCATAAAAGTAATAGATAAAGTACCATACATATAGCTCTCCTTTTACTTTCACAATCACCCTGTTTATACATTTCCATAAGATAGGTAGTTAATAAAATCCCATTTTGCTGGGAAGGGAACTAAACACTAAGGTTGAACAGTACCTGGAACATAGTGGAATATATAGTCAGTAAATACTTATTGATGGAATTAATGGATAGGCTTCCCAAGGAGCCATTATTTATCCACTGTTGTATTCTGGACTAAGTCAGACATTAGTAAATCTACAAATGGGTTTCAAATAGAGAAGCCAACATGCTTAGGCACAAGCATTTATCAAACACTTTTGGAGACTCTCCTACTTTTCCAGGTATTATTTTAATTATTGTGAATAAAATACTAAGAAAGAATAGCACAATCCATGTTCTCATGGGTCTTAAATTCTAGTAAAGAAAAAAATAAATAGGTAAACAATATATAAACAAGGACTTTTAGATAATGGTAGGTGCAGTGAAGAAGTAAAATAGTGTAAAGTGAGACTGAGGGAAGACTTGCTTAGGGAAGTCCTCTCTGAAGAGGTGGCATTTGTGCTGAAACCTCAGTGAGATTATATATATATATATATATATATATATATATATATATAAAACATTTATATATAAATATATGCACATATATACATTAATATATATATTTATGTATATTAAATATATATTATATATAATATATATTTGTGTATATTAAATATATATTATATATATATATATATATATATATATATATATATATATATAAAATTTAAAAGCCACTCATGAAAATATTAAGGATCAGAGCATCACAGGTATAGGCCTAAAATAGGAATGAACTTAGCTTCTTAGAAGAATATGATAAAAATTGGCTGTAACTGGAATGTAGAGAAAGTGGTACAAAGTAAACTTGGAGAGATAGGTAGGGACCAAATCATGTAGGGATTTGAATAGACTTTTTACTCATGAAATAAGTTTGGAAGTTATTTAGCATGATGAGAAACGGGTAGTGAGTATTGTGGGAGTGATATAATCTGATTTACATTGTTAAAAGATTTGTTTTGCCGTGAACAGATCATAGGGGATGGGGAGTGAAATTTGTAACACAAGATAATTAGATATCCAAGAAGCAATGAAAGAAGTTTGGGATAAAGTGGCAGAAAAGATAATGGATGTTTTGTAGACAGAGCCTACAGATTTTGTGATATTTTGAAAACAGGGGTGAGGAAATAGTCACTTCTAGCTTGTACAGTTTTGTCTTGAGCTTGAGTAGATGGTTGTGCTACTTACCAAATGAAAAAGACTAGGGAAGAAAAGGGAGAGGAGGTATTTTATTTTGCTTGCTTTAATTTTTACATCATTATTAGAAATCTAAGGTAAGTTTTAAGTCTTGAGTTCTGTGAAGAGGGCAAGGGAGCAGAGATTGAAAGAAGTCACTAGCATGTTGAAAAACGACCTAAAACCAGGGAACATTTCAGTGATTAGGAGAAGAAAATGTAGATGAAAGAGTATCCAGTAAAAGAGGAAGAAAACCAAAAGAGTGTGGTGTCATAAAAGCCAAAACAATAAAACATGGTCAATGGCATTGAATCATGCTGAGAGATTGAGTAAAATAAAGAGATCTTCATGTTAGATTTTGGCAACATATCATAGATATGCTTTGATAGTACAATGAACATAAAATTTAGTGTGATGAAATGGACTTGGCACTGTGGACATCTCAAGATAATTTACATTGGAGAGCTGACAAGTGGAGAGAATAGAAGTGTATGTGGGGTCAGAGAAGGGTTATTAAAGATGGGGATACAAAAGCTTATTTTTTTATAATATGAATGATCCAATAAATGGTGGGGTGGAGGGATGAATGGTGTGAGAGAATGTATATACTTTAGGTGTGTGTCTTTGAGAAAATGAGGGGATACCACACAGGGAATATAGTAAAAGTATTGGCTTCAGATACAAACATGAACATATAATTTCTAGTAATACAAAGAAAGGCAGTGAATGATAGATAGATTCAGGGTCAGAACATGAGAAAGTTTTGCTTGATAGTGACTTTTTTAAAAAAAAAAAATGAAGTATTGGGCTGGGGATATGGCTCAAGTTGTAGTGCGCTTACCTGGCGTGCATGTGGCGCTGGGTTCGATCCTCAGCACCACATAAAAATAAAATAAAGATATTGTGTCCACCTAAAGCTAAAAAATAAATATTTTTTAAAAAATGAAGTATAAGGTATGAGGCAAGATAAGGGTGAGGGTTTGAGGGTGGTGGTAGGTATAAGGAGAAAAGGGAAGGTATGAAATAGTCATGTTTGAGAATGGAAGAGAGGCATAGTAACATGGTGGTCAAAACTGAGTGCTAATTTTTACATCTGTGGCCTGAGATAGGGTGGAAGAAAAGATTATAGGAGCTAGGGAAGGTCAAAGAACTGAATGACCACAGTGTCAGGCAGATAGACAACCTGGGTACTAGTGATTAAGTTAGTAGCTAAAATAGTCTTTGCTAATATCCTGACTTCCCAGCTTAATGGGTTATCATTTTACTGACTCAGTATTGTTCTTTTGTGCCACCTACCCTATCAGTCAACATTATGTGTGTGTGTGTGTTTATAGCTGATGTTTTTTAATTGGTAGATTCATCCAAATTCTAGATTTTTATAGGCTATTTTTTTGTCTTATCCCTTTAATACTTCAGTATGTATTTATGAAAATTTTTGCTTTTTTGTGTTTTAAAACTATTTCTATTAATATGTATTTATTAAAGCACAAAAGTCTACCTCTTACATGATAAAGGAACCTGGGCATGGGGGTTCACGCCTATAATGCCAGCAGCTTGGGTGGCGGAGGCTGGAGGATCATAAGTAAAATAAAAAATAGTCTGGGGATGTGACTCAGTGGTTAAATGCTCCTGGGTTCAATCCATGGTACCAAAAAAAAAAAAAAAAAAATCAATGATAAAGGAGAGATGAAAGGTGAAAAAATCTAGAAATTCTGTTGCCTTATTCAGTTAGGATGACCAGTAATAGGGTTGTATATTGACTCTAATAGCAATAATAATGATAGCATTTTGAATAGCCCTTTACATTTTCTGCTAGGCCTTTATTATCTCTTATCTAATTTTTAACTGCTTTTTTCAGATAAGGAAATTGAGATTCAGAGAGGGGCTTGATGAAGGACACATACCTAGAGAGTGGCAAAATTATTAACCACAGTGTCCTGACTGAATCCCATATTTTTCACTGTAGTAGTTCACCTCTTTGCTTTTAATCCTCCATTATATCAAAAGTGACATTAAAGAAAAATTCTGCTGTGTAGAAAGTAACTCTGCTGCTTAGGGGCCTCTTACAATGTAAAAAAAATGTGTTTTTAAAATTCAACTGTTAGGGTTGGGAATATATTTTAAGTGGTAGAACACTTACCTAGCATGTCCAAGGCCCTGGGTTTGATCCTTAGCATTACAAAAAAATTAATGTTTTAAATTATTTAAAAATATATTTTAAAATGAGATTAAATATTTATCTAACATCTACTGTGTGTTAGGAAATT